TCCACCTGACCACCTCCAGGGCTCCCCAGGACACCTTAAATGTGAGTCATTTTTGCATTCAGGTTATCCTAAGTGTGAGATATTATTGTTATATTTTATGATTTTTTAAATTGTATTCAAACAGTAGCAGCGCTCTTAACACACACACACCGTCTGTTTTTGCCACCTTTTTTCAGTGAGGTAATCACCAAACTGCTTGTCCATGCGCTAATCATTTACAAACTTGACTACTGCAACCTTCTTCTTGTCAGCCTAAAACGTGCCCAAATTGCCCCTTGTTCAATCCACTCACAACGCTTCAGCCAGACTAATCCACCTTACCTCCCACTACTCTCACACTTCACCCATTTGTTAATCTCTGCACTGGCTTCCTGTTTTTTATAGGATACACTTCAAACTTCTCACCCTTACCTACAAAGCTCTGCACAACCCCGCACTAGCTTACATTTCATCACTAATTAGAAGATATACTCCAAATGGGCCCCTACGCTCCACTAATGACCTGAGACTATCCTGGTCAATCTCCCGCACACCAAACTCTCATTTACAGGACCTCCCCAGGGCTGCCCTCACCTTATGGAATTCTCTCCCACGCCACATCAGGCTCTCACCATCCCTACAGGGCTTAAAAAATCCCGCAAAACACACTTTAGAGAAGCGTATTAGAACCTTCCATTCTGCTCCAGTTTCACAGTACTCCCATATGCTCTCCCATTTTATTTGGTATACATCTATAGTCTCCCCTTCCCCAACTCTATGTCTTTGGTCCCCTTCCTCTTAGACTGTAAGCTCGTTTGGGCAGGGTTCTCCTGACCTACTGTTTCCATATGTCAATGATGCTTGTCAGTGTTTGTCTTGTCTAAACGATTGTACAGCGCTGCGGAATATGTTGGTGCTATATAAATAATTGTAATAAATAATTGTAATAATTGTAATTAAATTTGGGCTTCAGCCCTTGTCTGATTTACTTGTACTAAATAGGTAGACACTGGTTGATCTGCTTGGTATTCACTGTCTGAGGAATCGTGTGATGCTGCTACTTGTTTGTGTACCTTGCTTTCGTGAGTGCAAAGTGTCCTACCGTTCTATAATTATAACAAGTCAAATTATTATTGTTATTAATATTATTACCTTGCTTATTTCTTTCTTATTGATCACTTACTTTTTCCTTTCTAGTCTCCCCTTGGGCTTGTCTACATACATTTACCCTCTGTTCCTCCCTCACTTACACTCACTCTTGCCTTCTACCACTTACATAGTTACATAGTATTTGAGGTTGAATAAAGACATTAGTCCATCAAGTCCAACCTATTAGGATCTCATTCTAGGAGTACCTGTACCCCTGTATATTACGGTCCCTTAAGAAATCGTCCAAAAGTTTCTTGAACAATTCCACATTCTTTGCTGAAATCACTGTCTGTGGCAGTGAGTTCCAGACCCTAACTGATCTTACTGTGAAGAACCCCCTTCGCCCCTTGTGCTGGAATTTTTCAAGAGCACTGCAACCTGAGGAGAAAAAAAAAGGGAACAGTTACATTAACAGTTTCTCTGACGTCACACTGTATATTCAGGTCCCACAATTTCCGCTACTTTCCTCAGAGGTGCTCTTAACCCCTTCATAAACTGAGCTCTAACTATGTATTTATGGCTTCATTGTTAACTGAATCAAGCTGTTCTTCTTAAAAAATTTCAAATAAATGGTTGCGTCTTCCTTCTGACCCTGAATGCTGTGCTGTAACTGCATCCAAGAATTTACCCCATATTTCCTAATACCCTTATTAGGCTTACATAAATTAATCAGTTGCTCCCCTGGCACTAAATTAGGATCTTCTACTCAATTATTTTGCATAATATTTTGCATAATATCTTTTTTATCAGAACCCCTTTTCCCACAGTCCATTTTAATAATTTCTGCTTATTGAGGGCCAGGCACAGCCCAGTTCCAGGATTCTATCCAAATCATTCCAAGAACATTCATGGTCTGCATTTAAATGTTCCATTTTCTTTCTAGGGTTAGGTGTGCCTGCAAGGATATTTCAAATGTCTGATAGTATCACAATCAAGCGGGTTGATGGGAAATGGACGGCAGCTGCAGAACTGTGGAGTAGGCTGTATGGGATTGGGTCAGTCAGGCGACTCCCTACACACTCAGTGCGCTAGGAAGCCGTTCCACATCATGTATCCCAGCCTAGTCTTGAGGGAAGTTAATTTTAGTGTGAACGGGGTCTGATGGGACTGTAGCATAAAACAGCTCGGGATTCTACAGGGTTGTTTAACTGAAGACACTACCACAGCTGTTGGGCTCACTATAGCTAACAGCAATTCCAGGAAATAAATCAGCAGTATGGATTAACGCAATTATATATTATAGTCATGAAATGTTTCAGCAATATGAATTGATGCAGGTATCTAGTTTTAGACAACATGGATTGATGCAGGTATCTAGTTTAGACAACATGGATTGATGCAGGTATCTAGTATAGACAACATGGATTGATGCAAGTATCTAGTTAGACAATATGAATTGATGCAGGTATTTAGTTTAGGCAGGCAATCCTCCAGTAGTAGGAATTGATGCAGAATTTAGCTTAGAATAGGTAATACTGCAACAGTATGGGTTCAGGCAACTGAACATGTAGTCCCATGTAGAGCCTGGGCCCTGATACTTGCGGTTTAAGGTGTCAACCCCGTGAAGCTGTCTTTCCTTGCAAAGGCTGAGAGGCACTGTAGTGAGGAGCTGTGTCCGAGTGCACTGCAGGCTGAGCAGCGTGTGGGAGCCGGACTGGTTCAGTGGAGACAGTGGAGGCAATCGCTCAACGTTCCACATTGACTGAACGCCGAGTGATTGCCTTCACTGGGTTTTATAAGACCCACGCCGAGCCCAGGGGGCGGATCCCCGCGTGACGTAACGGCCGGAGCGCCGCGTGACGTCACGACCGGAGCGACGCGGCGCCGGAGCGGCCGGGGGTGCCGAGGACGAGCCTGACAGATAGGGTAATGGGGGCATGTCCTCTTACTTGTCCAGTTATAGCTGAATCATCTGTATTATATGCATGTTGGGTTCTTATTGGATATGTAGATACTGGTCCAGTATCACTAACTTGTTGACTCACATTCTCTGAATTAGAACTTTACACCTTCTAATAATTTCTTTACTATTTTAGCATATTCTTCAAAAAATTCTACTAAAGTGTTTTTATTCATACTACCATTTATAATTATTAATTTTCTCCTTTAATTACTGGCTCTTATAAAAACAATACTTTGTTTTAATCGAGGAAACAGCTGTAGATAAAAAAAAACATATATCTGCTGCTAATTCCAAACATACATTGTTTTATTTCTTTCAAGGTTATTCACTTAGGTGCCGAAGGCAAACCGAGTCACAGTGAACAGAGCAAAACGACGTTTGGCACTCTGGCACAGTAGAGCTGATTTCAGCCATCTGGATCAGTTGAGCCAAAGCTCCAGCAGCTTACTCGCTGCCTGCCATTCACCCCTATTCACATAGGGAGCTCTGGCATTTAGCTTGGCTATTCTGGCTCTGCTATTCTGCTCAGTACCATTGAGGTACCGAGCAAAATAGAAAAATCAGTGAAAATAGTAAAAACAAAAGTTGAAAAAATATTTTAAACATCTAAATAAATAGTAAAATGTTAAAAAATAAAGATATCTTAAAAAAGAAAACAATTGGGCGGAGCTAGCAGTGACAGCTAGCTCCGCCCAACTGTTTACTATTGGCCGGAACTTGCTAGAGTCTTCTAGCAGGTCCCGGCCAATGAATAACAACTGTTATTGTTAAATGACTTGGGGATGCTGATCTGTCATTACCACAGGGCGGAGACAGTCAGGAGATCTCAGCTGGCTCCGCCCAGCTGTCATTTGCGGGGAGAACAGCCGACCTTCGGCTGGCCGTTCTCTTTGCTTCGGCTGTCACTTTGGCTCAGTCATGCCTAAGCATATGCCTTTGTAAGCAAAACAATGGGCTTGTAAGCAAAACAATGGGCTTACCTGGCACCAGTTTTTCAGTGTTCCCGATGTGATCTAGGCATTCTTACTCTGTTCCATATGACACATTTCTCTCCTAGCTCATAGCTCGCCATAAACTGTCATTGCTATTCATTTTAACCTCCCTAGCGGTATGATTATTCAGGATTTTAGCATCCAAAAGCGGTACATTGTTTTTCATGGAAATTTGTTGTTTTATATTGTAGGTAAATCTGTATATTGTAGGTAATGTAAATGGGAATTCTGGGGGCGCAGCCTGATCCGTACCACAGTCAATAGAGTACCAAGTTTGCACATCACTGAGCTCGCAGATTCATCGCTGTTTTAGGTCAAAAGCAGTTTGACCTAAACTGCTTTTGGCTCGTCCGCCCGCACCAACCTGCCCCCCCGCGTGCGGCCGCCGTTTTTTTCCCCCCCTCTGACCCCTCACCTTGAATCCCCGGATAATCACTGATAACACTAAACTGATGAGCGGTAACAGCTTTTAAAGCGTCGCCTATGGCCAATTTTGGGTAGTATCGTTTTTTGAGGTTTCGCGCGTGCACGCAATTTTAAAGGCAGGCGGATGTCCCCCCGCCATCCGGCTTCCTTCCTCGTCCGAGACCGCTACCCGTGGACGGGAGATGCCCCAATGCTTCGTGCTGCTGGAGGGGTAAGTCTGACCCGTCTAGGCGCCGAGCTCAGGACTCAGACATCCTTCCTCGAGCTCCGTGCATGCGCCCGTTGCAGCTTGAAGCTATTTTGAATCACAGATCCCATTTTGACATTTTTCTCCCGCAGATGTCTCTCATTGAACACAATACTGTATACAGAGATATAGAAACTCTTTGCAGAAAAGAACAGGTGTCAGGTTAGATTAGAACAGATCAAGATAAATAATTATTGCAGATTATTTTATTAAATTATACAAAATCTTTTTGTTTAAACAAATATGTTTTGTACTATGCCAATATGACAACATTAAAACTTATCGCTTTCTTTCCAAAAAATAGGCATTCACCGAAAGTTGTGAAGGCAGCATCTCAGGTTCTTAACAGCATGTGGCAGTACAGAGACCTCAGAAATCTTTACAAAAAGGTATGTTATAAACGTATATTAATGTAAATATTTTCAACACATCAGCACATGGACACACTAACATACTTACTGTGTATACATGTTTTACAATAATGGAAAGTACTTTGTATGAGAAGATGGCACTTTTTCGCTGTCAACACATGTACAATATATGAAAATGTGTTGTTTTCTGAAAATATTAAATTGTTGCCAGCTGGGGTTATATCTTAATCAGGAACAAAAAATATAGATTTGTTCCTGAGGTATATTATTTTTCAGAAAATCTTGACTATATCAAGACAGGAGAATCAGTGCTGTAAAACACTAATATTAAAGCATGGTTCTAAGAAATTGTCAGCTGCTGTTTACCACAAATTGCCACTGATCCTCTTCTCTCGTGATGATCAAAAGAAAGCATCGGCCCACATGTGCATGGTTGCTCCTGGCAAAGGCCAAGCACTCCTTTATTTTCACATTCTAAAGGAGCCAAGGCCTACCACACCATCATCCAACAGTGCTGGTTCAATGACTGCCTCCATCTGTTCAAGTTATCATTAATTAAATAAGTTAGCGGTGAGGTCTCCAGAACAAAACACAGTATTCTAAATAGGGTCTAATTAAAGATGTGTATAGTAAAGTAAGGAGAAGTTTGAGGGAGTGCAGGTAAGGTAAGTATAATGGTTTTGAGGATGCCCTTTCCAGAGACACTGCCACCTTGCCCTGCATGGGCAAGGTGACAGAGTATCTTCAAGCTTTAACCAAGCTAGGTCATTTGCCACCTCTACCTCTAAAAACCATGGAAAAGAACCTACATTGCTAAAACTAATATGATTTCCAAACCTGTTTCTTTAGTGACATATATATATCTGAAGAAGACTAAACAGAAGTAAATGTTTAAATTATTTTTTTAGCCAGGTCTCCCAATACATAAGTACTGTTCCCTTTTTTTTATTTGTCTGGTGCTGCTTTTTTTCCCCTCCCATCACTATTATACATAAAAAAAGGGTTGTCCCCTTTCCTAATGGCTTTATCAATTCTCTCCATTTTAACATTTGCTTTAGTAGCTTTAATGTGTATACAATGTTTTGCTACCTTCTATCTGTTTTTACACACTTTCTTAAATTGACTGACATAATCTAGTTGGATCCAGAATGGAAGACTTAGAGCCCTTTATTGGAGTCATATTCATATATTGTATCAATCAACATTTTGTAGATCTATATGGGAGTTTATTTATAAAGGTTTTCCGTTTTCAACACAAGATTTACATACTCTTTACCCAGGATTCACACATTTTTCCAATAAAATCCAAAGAGAAAAATGTGTGAATCCTAAGTGAAAGTTTTGTGGATCCCAAAAATGGCAGAACAGATTGGTTTATATGGAGTAAGGTCCCTAACAAATTGCAAAAAAATAATTCACCTATGTAATCTACATCATACACACAAAATAATTATATTCAAAATCAAGTTGACCCCACTACCATAACTCATTACAGCAATTACAATTTTGATGATCATTTGTGGCCCTTTGAAGGACTGCTAGGCAAGCTATTGTCACCAAAATGGTATGTGAAGCTGGGCACAACTTTGGGGAATATTTGCCAATACAAAAAAAAAACTGACAGGTGAGGGAAGGGTCTTTTTATGTGGCCTTGAGAGCATCATAGAAATTACATATATTTTCAAATTATGTTTCAATTATAACATAATAAAACATTAGAGTTTTGGGGGAATGCCTTTTAGTTGTTTGGAGCTTTTTTTCACAATTAGCTTTGCTCCCAGATACCAATGTACTATTATTTGACAAATTTTAGTTTAAAAAAGTTTTCATCAACCAGTACTAGGCTTGCCTTGACAGGAAGAAAGTTGTATGTATGGTTAGGTAGATGTTCACCAGCAGAACCATAGTTTGAAAGCAGTTCCAATAGACCTAAATGGAGAGACAGAAGGTACAGGCAGCTGTTTTCCTAGAAAAAAAAAAAGTTCTGGTCCACAGATATGGGTGGGTAAAAAGTGGCCCGTGGCAGCACAGTTTGACAGCAGCACCAAAAAGCATACTCTAAATATGGAAACACAAGACAATGGTGGTCTTTAAACAATGCAAAAAAACATTAGAGCTAAAGTCATCAAATATGGATGGTTAAAATTGATCAGTGGCAACACGAATTGGCCACAGCGACAGCGGGTCTAAATGTTGAGACAAAAAGCACCAAGAGGTGTTTTCCAAAAAATTTGAATTTCAGTCTGTAATTTGTATGGGTGCTTTGTTTCTTTTTCAAGGGGAGGAGGAAAGAAGGTACCAAGAGGCAGTAATTGTGTGGCTTGGCAACACATGCATAAGCACCAGCAGGGACCAACAAGAAGAAAAGGTGTTTTGTCTTTTCTTTTAAAAATTAAGCAGAGGTTAAGCAAATGAAAACATTTGCTCCTATGAGTGTAGAGAGTGTATGCCAACTAATCAGTGCCATCTACAGTGGGTGTGTGAAAGTCCTCTATGATCCAAGCCTGAATAATTTCAATAAAGGTGAGTTGTTCCACACTGTCAGTCACAACTCCTCATGCTGCACTGAGGGCCCTCTCTAACAAGACACTGGCAGCAGACCAGCACCTCAAATGCATATTGTGCCAGCTCTGGCCAATGGTCCATCCTAGATACCCAGTTTTTCATAGGGTGCACTCATCTCAGGGTGTCAGCTGATGGATCAGGAGCTGCCTGAGTCAGGCATGGCTACTGCAGACTAAAAAGGTCTTTGTGAAAGGTCTTTGTGTGGAAGTCCCTGCTGGTGCTGCTGACAATGCTTAACAGGATGTCGCTAGTAGAGGTGCAATGGTTAACAGAGAGATATCTCCACCATAGAAAATGCCAAAACCAAGGGGTTTTTGAAGCAAATGGCAACCAATAATGAGGGCTCTCATTGGTGACATGTATGCAAGGCCCCTTTCGTGGGCACTGCAGTATGAAGGACCCCACACACCACAAATGTCCTGTGGCTGCGGATCCAGAGTCCTCTGTGTCACACAGCACAATGCGATCCTCTGACTGCTTTTCCCCACCTATGTTACCCACCTATTAGTGGGTATATCGGAGACCTGGCTAGACGGCACACATGATTGGGCTACTAATATAGAGGGGTATAACCTATTCAGGAGGGACAGATGTGGGAGAAGGGGGGGGTTGCATTTACGTTAAAAACTATCTAAATATGCATATAAGGGACGATATCACGTCAAACAGTGGAGAAGATGTGGAGACCTTATGGCTAGAGCTCGAAATGGCGGACCCTAGCCGTAAACTTATTGTGGGTATTTTCTATAAGTCTCCATATATGGGGAAGGAGCGGGAAGCTTAGAGGCCACCACCTAAAGTTGGTGGAGAAAAAATTTCAGCTTAATGGGCGAAGAGGGTTCTTTACAGTAAGAGCTGATGCGTGGACCTATATGGGTTGGACTTGATGGACGTACGTCTTTATTCAACCCCAAATACTATGTAACTATGTTTAATGGCTTGGCTTTGCAATAGCTGAAACGTCTCCTGCAGAGCTTGTATGTATTTCTCCTCCTGCTCCCCTCCTGCACCAAACCCTCCTTTTTTTTCTCTCCTGCTGCCTCTGCATTCCAGGGATGAGATCAATGGGCAGAGAGAGCACTTTCTCTTATTACTTCTCTTCTGTTTCCTGCTGCCTGCCCCTCTTCCCTGTGTTGTTCATTGGTGGGTATTTGGTGGACATGGCAAACTGGCATCACGTCCTCCTTCTCCTGGAGTTCCTTGTGCTACTATGCCTCTAGTCTCCTGTCTACAAGGCAACATAGCATATGTACCAGCACTACTAAGGGAATCAAAACGGGTACCAAGAATCAGCAGCTGCAGAAGGCTTAACTCATATTCACACAGGTAGTTGTTTATAGCTTGTTGTTTCTTTTACAGCCTTTGCAACATGTTTAAGAGAGAATTCAAATTTGTGGAAATGTTGCAAAATAATTTTGCTGGGCAGCTGGTTTTGTTGCTGGATTATTGGCAGACAAGTTGTAGTCATGTAGGAGTTGTGAAAATATTCAGAAGCCCTCCTGGCATACCAGGTCTTGTAATTTTTGGTACTTGCCTAGGATGACATAGAGCATGTGTCCCTGGAGAAGGACGAATGAGAAGAACTAGAAGGAGGTGATAAAAGTGACAGAGCTGCCTCCCACCAAATGAGATGGCCTCAGAAATTCCAGTGGTGTTTCCTTTGCTGCATTTTTCCCCGTTGCTGAAAGGTTCACTCAGTGTAGTGTGAACGATATATACTGCCTATGTTTTTTTGACCAAGTATTGGTGTTTATTGGTATGCGTATACTGACAGCATCCAAAACAGGTTTCACTCCATGTGATCATGAAGGACAGGGACAGCCGTCTGAGAAAAACAATAGTGGTTGGGTATCTGCCACTGTGGGACCTTCCAGGCCATGAACTGGCAAAAGCAGTCTTTCCTTGTGTTCAGATGCTGGGCATAAAGACATTTAGGGGAGAGATTTTTTTCCCCCACTCTGGTTACAGAGAAAAAAGATGCCTGGCAGATGAAGGTTGCTTCTGGAGATAGTGGGGTAGGTAGTGGGGTAGGTGTTGGCGAACTCTTAGGTTCCAACTTTTGCTTCACTGTCATATGTGTGGACCATTTTTATGCTTTTGATAAACAGTTGTAGTAGGGACTCTACAGCAATCTTCAAGGAGTTATAGGCATCTGCACAAAATAAGGTGTATGGTGTGAAATAGTAAAGCTAACACATACACAAGCAATCAGCCCTATGTTATTCAAATACTTTGGTTTAAGCATATAACAAAGTAATAATTCATATACACAATTAATTATTACTTGGCTTTAAATCAGGGACTTCAGTTCTAATGGTTACTTGCTTGTGTTTTTCCAGAATAATCAAGATGGGCTAAATAAACCCCCTATATTGTATATAAGGGGGAGGGGAATAAAGTTCCTTTTTGACTGTATATTCTGGTGATCAGACTTTGTCCCCGGGCAAGCTGCA